ACAAACATATACTTCTAGTTAATTTCAGGCTTTGTATTCTTTGCTACCTTGTTTCTCTTTTCTGACTGTGGCCATTTATGCTAAGGGCAGATTACTAGATCTCCCTTTACTTCCTGGAACTTTGGCACATGTGACTAGAACATGTGACCATGCATATCATCTCAGGGGAGGAAAATACCTTTCCCTGAGATCTCATAAAATTACAGATGAGATTTCCCAGCAATGCTCTGCTGATGCAACCTTCCCAAGATGCAATGCTTTGGCACATTACATCATTTGTGCAAGAAGTGGACCAGGAAGTAGATGAACTCTATTTGTAAGTAAATGAAAAAATATGTTTGTTTAACTAATGAATGTAAGATGATTTCATATCAGCATGCAGAACTGTGCTGATATGCTGATGTGATTTTTAGTGAAAGAGGGTAAAGGTGCACTTTAACTTTCCAGAGCAATAGACTGAGATTGTTAATATGGTACAGTACCCAGTACTCTAGCTAACTATTTTTAAAAGACTTGGTACATTTGCCTAATCATAATTTGTGAAGGTATTTTAATGTAATGACCAGGCTTTACTATCTTCAAATATTTTATTATTTTTATCAACACATTATAAGACACATACACCATATAACCAAACATTGCAGTACCAATCCTATAAAACATAACATTGCTCATTTTGTTTTACTGGGTTTTTGTTCTCTCCCTAGCTATTACCCAAATCTAACCTTCCCACCTAAACAAGAGGGAAGAGAACATTACCCTTGTAGTTATTTAGCGAGAGGGCTCTACCCCGAAGCATGTCCTCCGTGCTGTCCCCCTTTCAAGTATGCAGATTTAATCGATAAGTGATCCCTGCTATGCTGCTATTGGTATGAAAATCCTTCATATAAATATTACAAACTGCTGGTACCTTGACTAACATAACTTACTTACATAAATAAAGAACATAAGACCAAACAAAAAAAAAGAAGAGAAGAAAAGCAAGTCAAAGCCATCAGGAAGGGAGGAAGGAGGGGCAAACCCACAGAATATAATTAGTTGGGGGGACCCGTTTACAAGTAATTAGTTAGTTTAGGTCAGGCAGAACTAGGGCCTGCCCTCCTTATGTCACTCTCAAAATGTTGTACCGCCTACATAAGTCATCCAAGGACCCTATGTTAACTCGAATTGCCCAGCTTTATCTGATAGGATACTCGCCAATTTTTCGTGGATCATGATCCACAACAGCTTAGCCCTTACTTGACGTAGTGACACTTTAGGTGCCTTCCAGGCTTTGGCAATCGTGATTTTAGCTGCCAAGAACATGAACATAATTAAGCGAGTACAGTGTCTAGATACCCTTGGAAGCCTATCATTAAGAAGAGCATAACTGGGATCTCTAGGAACCCGCACTCCCGTTACCCGGAAGATTAGATTGAACACCCCTGCCCAGTATGCACGGATCCCAGGGGAAAACCACCATACATGGTGTATGGTTCCCCCCAGTTCGCATCCCTGAAAACACAGGGGGGATGCCCCTGGGTACATATGGGCTAATCTAGAGGGCACCAGGTACCACCTGGAAATTTTTTTTAAATTGGCTTCTAACAGTGAAACGTTCAGCAGGCCCTGAGTTGTCACTCTTGAGCGACGCCTCCATACCTCCTCTGGCACCTCCCTGTTCAAATCCCTTTCCCTTGCCCGCATATATGGCTGCTTAGGGGGGAAATCTAGCATTATAGAGTACAGCAGGGAAATGGCCCCTCTCTGATTAATAGCATGAAGACCCCAGTGTTTATACGGGCTAAGGTCCCTACCTGAGTCACTCCGCGCCAGTATATCTCACAAAAAATGAGTAATTTGATAGTAGCGGAACAACTCAGACGATGGCATGCCCAGATGTTCCCTGCAGTATTCCAGAGTCAAAGGTCTCCCCCTCTTAAAATATTGACCAATTCTATATAAGCCCTTATCTATCCACCATTGGAAGGATAGAGTACCAGGGACAAACGCCGGATTTTGAAATAAAGGGGCAAGGGGAGTGTGATGTGAACTCATGTTTCCCTGATTTTTAACACGATCCCACAGAACCAGAGAGTTAGAGAGGGTAGGGGCCATAATAGGCGGGCGTATGACCAGGCTTTAAAACCATATTCTTTATCTGACTGGGAAAACATTTTGAACTTATACAGCCGCTATAATGCAATGCATTATATGGTATCACTTGTTCCATTACATAGGCTGGAATGTAAAAGTGAGAGAATGTTCCTTATCTTTTCATAAACAAGTGCCAAGTGATGATGATGCCTCTAATAAAATAGCAGGACAGATGCTATCTGTCACTTAGCTATTTTGTACTGCCCCATATTATTTTAAGCTTTATGTGTGAAACTATCTCTATAGCAAAATTTAAAAAAACATAATTTAAATCAGAATATGATATTAATAGATGAGCTCTGATTAGATTATTATTATGAAAATGACAAAACAGCCTTTTCAGAGCTTGAGTCTGCTTAGTAGCTGCTGCATGTAACATGGACAGTTGATGGAAGACACATGGTACATCTAGTCTCCATCAGGGCCACTACTATATTGCACAGTGTTGGGTTTCATGATGCTTTTGTCATGTAGTCGCTTGCTGCTGTGGTGCCTGAATGGAGTCATCTTCATTTAAGGTTGGTCACACAATAAATAAGAGATTGGGGGACTTTTTTTTTCCTGTAAAGGGCATAAAGGGCAGATATATCTACCTGCTGTGTCTTTTATTCCTCATTATTATTAGTATCATGGCCAACCCGATTTCACATTTTCCAGCCCATTCATAACATGCAGGCATTTGGTACCAGAGAAAACACTGTGATTGGAGGAAGCTAGCCAAGTGACTTTGGCAGGTTATATGAATGGGCTCCATTGCTGGATTATTGTTTCTTTTTTAAACTCCCATTAATTTTTGTTTTGCATGCATGGAGTCAATAGTCCCTTAAAGTGAGACTAAAAACAGGAGGTCAATCTTAAAAATGCATTCAAGTACCTTAACTATTAACAAAAATGTATCTTATTTGTTATGATCCTTAAATCATCCCTGAATTGGTGCTGACACTGTCCTTCCTTCTGGAGGGTGGCTACATTTGTTCCCCATGGTTCCTGTGTGTGTTGTAAAGTAGCCACCACTCCAAGCTTGCTCTCGTGATGGATTACAATTTCAATACAATAGTTAATAGTTATGTTACTTGAATGCATTTTTAAGATTTAACTCTTGAGTTTAGTGTAATTTCAATGTATAACCAAAGTCAAAACTTTTCCTAGTTTTACATTACGTAGAGAATGGTTAGAATCCCTGTAAGGTTCTTCTGCCATCTACTTATCATGGAAGACAGTAAGATTGACTTCCTGTTCCACTGATAAACAAAACGTGAGAGGAAATCCTTCCAAAGTAAAACAGTTCCCAGTGAAAGAAATGCCTCAAATCGAAATTTTATTCTTGCCTCCTGTTCCAGGGAGAGCTGTAAAATGTTCAATTTCCAATCACTTTCTTTCCCAGTGGCAATGGTTATCAAGACATACAGAGACAGGTAATCTAACCATCAGGACACAGACAGCATTGAAAGCTTCACAGAGGTTTTAACCCTAACCGTCCACTCCGCTCTTCAAAAGACCTCCTGCTTTCCAGCTCCCTCATCAACTCCTCCCATGCTCGCCTCCAGGACTTCAATAGAGTCTCTCCCATCCTATGGAACTCTCTACCCCAACCTGTCCGTCTCTCTCCCACTCTGACTGCCTTTAGGCGATCCCTTAAGACTCATCTCTTCAGGGAAGCCTATCCCACCTCAACCTAACCACTAAACTATCACTTTCTCAAACAAATCATCCCCACACAGCTACCTCCTTATGTATCACTGGCCCCTCCCTTTTAGATTGTAAGCCATCACGGGCAGGGCCCTCCTTACCATATTGTCTTGAATTGTATTGTGATTGTAATGTCTTCCTTATATTGTAAAGTGTTGCGCAAACTTTTGGCGCTATATAAATCCTGTATAATAATAAAAATAATAATATTTCAATGCATGTATGATGTAATAGTTCATCCTCATTATCCATTGAAATCTTTGTCTATGGTCAGCATTAGAAACAACAATGATCTTTATCTAATTTAACTGTGTTGGATGACAGATAGATCTGTATATATCTAATAATTCTTGTGGTTAGCAGGAAGCCTTTGGAAGTGATGCTGGATGCAAAGCATCCATTTAGGACAGGATAACAATTGCTCATTAAGCGATTACCAGTCTATTTTTAAAGGAAAAATTGCCAGCAAACAATTTTCTTTAAACATCAAGTGTTCTATAATAGTAAACCAAAAAATAAAAATGATGACGTGCATTTGTTGTTGTTGTTGTTGTATTTGTCACATTACATTGATATTTCAAGTTGAAGGTTGTAAATTGGTATTAAAGGCATAACACTTGTGACCTTTGTATTGACTTGTGCGGTTCTTAGATAAAGTAGCTATCAAGGTTACAGTGCATTAGAAGGTTCATAAAAGCCTTCTGGGGAACGTAACATAGGTTCAAAGACAAGGTGTTGTCAGCTAAATTTAAACATTCACCCTATTACTCAGAACGCGAGAATGAAGATTCAACCTTCAGCAGAATATTCAACAAAGAAG